TGCATGCAACCGTGGCTATGACGCGGCCGCAGAAGGCCCGTTTACACCACATTCGTTACTCGCTTGCGTTCAAAGCGACCGATAGTATCGCGAGAAACATCCGCTACTACATCATTGGGAGGCGATCACGCCACTCATCAGCGACACTAGACTATCTAGTAGCACGAGCACCCATGAAATACCAGATACACGACACAAGTACACAACGTGTGTTCACATTTTGGAAAAAATGTCATGACTTGCAGCATGTCACATGCAACTGCAAGTCATTTGCATCTGACGTGGCTCACACGGACCTCTGGCACGTGGGTGCCCGGTCCCGTCGAAGCCGGCGGAGCATGCGCACTCGAACGAGCCGAGAGTGTTCGTACAGATGCGTCCTTGTGCTAGTTTATCCCGCTCCCGTCAAGCACTCGTCGACGTCTGCAAGAGAGCAAGAGGAGGAGAGGTCAGAGGTCATCGTGACGTCATCTGGCCGTATATCGTACGTGATATAGTTACGGCGACCTACAGTTATCTAACGAGTAACGGCCGTGCAGGATCAGTACAAGCCAGGACATGGCGGCCAAATTTTCTAGCTCGAGATATCACTTCGAACAACAGATCAGACAGCATCGCACGCTGTGGGCAGGCAGGAAGCAGGCATGCCAAGCAGGCAGGCAGGATGCGGCAGGCAGGCAGGCAAGGCGACACGCAGGCAGCAGCAGAAGGCAGGCAGCAGGCAGACACGCATGCAGCAGCAGGCAGGCAGAAGGCAGCCCAGCAGCAGACACGCAGGTGGCAGGCAGGAAGACAGGCAGCAGCAGGCAGGCAGGCAGACACCAGGTCAGGCAGGCAAGGCAGCACGCAGGCAACGGTAGCAACAGGCAGGCAGGCAGACACGCAGGCAGGCATGCAGCGGCCAGGCAAGGCAGGCATGTAAGGCAGGCAGGCAGACACCAGGTCAGGCAAGGAAGGCACAGCAGACACGTTCAAGGCAGTAGGCAGTGCAGGCAGCATGCAGCATCAAGCATGAGGCTAAGCAAGCCATGCAATAGGCAGGCATGCAGAACGACAGGTGGTCAGCAGGAAGGAGAAGCAGGTCACGTCCAGCAGCAGGAAGCAAGCAGAAACGCAGGTAGATGATCAGCAGGAAGGCAGGCAAGGTAGACTTATCCGTATTACCTTAATCAACTATAAGCCATCGCTGATAGATAAGCCATCATCACTGCATTTCAAGCTGTATAATATTTAATTGGGAAAAAAAAATACCACTGTACAATCTTTGGCCTACCCATCGACGTAATCCTTCCAGTGTAGGTTACGCAATACACAAACAAAGGTAACATTAAGAGAGAGAACAAAAGTAAAAAAAAAATGTTATGCCTACCTACCTACCCTAATTTTCACAATCCATGTGACCCGAACCAAAGGTATTTTTTTGTTTGGCCTCACGGATTAGTTTTCAAATAAATACCCCTGGAAGTTAATATGCATGAACAGATTTCTACAGGTAACAGTTTCTCAGTGTTTTGAATTTTCAGTGATCAAATAGCTGTAGGATCAGCGGGCCTGTTTTATCAAGAAGCTGTAGGCCTGGCATCGAAACTGTCGGCGGCGGGCCGACCGGCCGACGTGAATTTCGAATTGCCTCGGTGCCCATCCATTTTAGAGAAAATTCAAGGATGTGAGAAATTGGGGGGCGGGGCAAGGCAATTTTTTCTTGTCGCTTAATTCGAGGCCTGGTTATGCGCATTGGGAATGCGTACGTCACAGGTCAACAGAAATGGCGCTCAATACATCCCTTGCTCGTCACTTCGAATTTTTGTAACAGGTTGTATTAGTTTAATACAGAGTATTGTGATACATAGTAAGTTCCAGGATAGCGGAGAAAGGTTCGTGTTTAGAATAAACCCAGTTTGGAAGTTCTAGTCTCTGAAAACGCACCAGCAAACTGCCCTGAGTGATTCACTGAGGGGTTCCTCCACAGAAAACCATAGGCTCGCGTTGTAACCCTATTCTGTGTTTGGGTTACATTATTGTAGTCCGAGCCGACGCAGACCCCAGTAATGGGGTCTGCGGCCGTGTCTATCTCAATCACGGAAAGCCACCTCCAGTTTGGAGGTGGCACTTATAAGTAATATATGCGCCCGATATATATACAATCCTATTGCATGGAACTTACTTTAATCTGAACTTGAATCATTCATCTACGTGCATGCACGCTATGATGTCCTAGTAGCGGCCACAACATAAGAATATATCAAGTTGTTAACCTAATGGTAAATACAAACATAATACCAAAATGGTCTGTCTTCATTCACATTTGTCAACCAATGAAAATCACTTCCGGTTACTTCGGCTATTCCCGATGTTCAAATATTATGTAGTCCGCGCCATCTATGGTCCGGTTAATCTTAATTATTTCCGAGTGAACCCGAAACTACCGGAAGTGAATTTCATTGGCCGATCGAAATGAATATGGCCAAAAATATAGAAGTTACTCTTACTAGGATGAATTATTGCATGAAAACAAAGTTCTGAAACGGAGATAAAGTTTTCGGAAAGCGATATTGACAAACAGAAGGTCTGTACTTGATATTTTGGGTCGGATATACCCTTTTCACGCCCTCAGTGCTACTCGTTTCACCTATCCAATGCCCACAACAAAAATTGCAACAATTTTTACAAGGGTGACTGCAGATGATAAACCTGCACCCTCAGATTAGCAAAGCGGAGTTATAACGTCTGCATTTGCGGACTAACATTATTGTATCTACCATTTTGCCTACTCCCATTTCGTCTACTCTTACTCTTAGATATTATGAGATTATGAATAAGAGAGGCATAACACAGCTATTAAACAGAACTCTATTATTCATGTTGTTTGTGCACAGGGCGTGCGTGCGGTGTACTTGTGTGTTGCAGATGAGCATTTGATCGGCATTTAGTGGATAAACTGATGGTAGACAAAATGGGAATGGGGTAGATTTTTAGTGTAGATGAATTGGGAGTAGGCCAACTGGGGGTTTGCTATATAGACGAAATGGAAATTTCGCAGTAGGCGAAATGGGAGTAGGCCAACATGCCTGGGCATAAACCGTTCGTCACATCGTATTTGAATAACGTGTTCGGTCAAGTAGTCTCTTTACATCATTGACATTGCAAGGGTTGAAGCGCAGGCACTTGACTTGGGCCATTTCAATAGTAAAATCATAGTAAATAAACACCAGTTGTATTTACAACCAAATTTTTATTGTTTATCTACTCTATATTGCCTGTTATCACTAGTAATAATTCCGTTTAAATAGTATTCAAGTGCTCCCCTGCAACATGAAATCTCGCCGCACGTAAGCCACTGAGAGTTTGTGCACAGTGGCGTGCGTGCAGTGAAACTGGGAGCATTTGGGATCATTTGAATAGCATTTACCTGGAATTATTAATCAATAGACAATACATAATTTGGTACTACTACAATTTGTGTTTAAAGGGATCATTTACTCTAGGTTCTAGGGGTATTTTCAGTTAATTTAGGTTAAAATTACACTACATAAAAAGTTTCATGGTTCAATCACCATTAGAAATATTATTAAAAAATGTTTTAAAACTAACGACTACAGTTTGATTACAACGACGGTGGCGCCACTCAAAGCGCACAATCTGATAAGTTGCGCAAAACCACTTTTCAGCCAAGGGCTACAGACCAAGGGTGTTTCGTATTTCGTAAAGCAAAAGGATTGTAATATCTTATAAACGACATATAGTTTTAGTTATATTATAGATAAATTTGTCCTAAAATGAACATCGTTCGG